TTTTGCGATATTCGCAATAATAGTCGAGATATTAATTAAAAAAGATTGGTCACGCGCGATGTGGTAGATGAGCTGCACCGTCTGCCGCTGTATACTTATACATTAAGTCAAACTGAACAAAAAAGTCCTCTACCATTTTGCAAATGACCACATAGATTTTTAGATATTAAAGAAAATTGTTACATGATTGTGTATTATAATATATAAATTTTCTATAATTAATATCTAAAAATCTATGTGGTCATTTGCAAAATGATAGAGAATTTTTTTGTTCAGTTTGACTTAATGTATAAATATACGACGGCAGACGGCGCCACTGCATCTCATCTACCATATCGCGCGTAATCATTCACTAATCTTCTTTAATTAATATTTCGACTATTATTGCAAATATCGCAAAACGGTATGGGACTTTTATATTTATCTCAATCTGCTCTACGTCCTTACGAGAAATTGTGAAGGTGATCCGGGACACCCTGTATATGTTCACAGAGTGCATACTGCTGATAAGTCTACTTTAGATACTCTATTTTTTAGATACTCTATTTTTTAGATATATCTAGATTGGCTATGTTTCAAAATTATTAATAGTGCTGAAAATCTATAATATATGTAACATAAACTATAGCTTTTCAATGCTGACAGTATATTTTGGGATATAATTTATCCATAATTTGAATAAACTGTCTTTAATGATAATCTATCACTTTGCAATTGAATTTTTTATAACTAAAAATTGCAAGCAACTAGAAATAGAGTTACAGATTCCTAGAACAATTTCCAAGAATATAAAAAAAATAAAATTTCTTAAAATATAAAAAAAATAATAGAAATAAATTCTTTATAATTTATCAGAATAATTGTTTTTTTCAAAATACTAATGTAAATATTCATTGAAAAATACAGTAAAGTATTGATTAAGTGTGTGTGTATGTGTGTGTGTGTGATTTTTCTTTTTATTGAATATATATTAAAAATATATTATAAACATATATATAGAGAAAAATGAACAGTGACAAAGGAAAATTTGTCAATAAATTTCTATTTGATGATCAATAGCAAAAGATACACAGGATTCTGTAAAACCCATATTTTAAAAAAATATATATATTTATATATATTTTATATATATATATATATATATATATATATATATATATTTATATTTATATTACATAAATATATATATTATATAAATATATATATATATTTTTTTTTATTATATCATATATATTTATCATATCGCAGTGATTGCTTTACAATACTTTACTTGTTATCCTGAGAGAGAATACATCTACATTAAAGAAATGTCTATCCAGCTGACTGATTTATTATTCTGTTGAAGTTTTAACATTACTTTACAATAAATTTAATGCATTATAGTTCTTATGATTATTTAGCTTTTTTACAGCAAAAATCGTTAAATTAATTTTATTTTACAGGACGCATTATTTTCAACTTATACTGTCAATGTCGTTAATCAAGTAGAAAAACTTGTATCCAAGTTGCATTAAAACACACTTCTGCATATTGGACAGGTGGATTTTTGACTCGTGTTGAACCATTTGTACTGGAAGAAAGAGAATAATTTAACAATATTATATCAACCTCATAGAGAAATAATTTATATTAATATAATATATATTTACCAAACAGGGAGTATGAAACTTCTTACGACAAGCGTGACACGACAACTTTGGTATTTGGTATGTGCTGATGTGGAAAATACTGAAGCATATGTAACATTCTTCGACACCTGCAAACTTCTTATCCAAATTGCGTTTCCACATTATGAGACCATCCCAAACAGAGCCATTCTGTAGGAAGAAATATAATCGCAATATATAGATCTTTCAGGTTGTTACAATTATTATGTTACGAGTGTAATATAATAATAACTCTTACTTGATGGGTGAGGAATATAGAAAGTTGCATATGACAGTTTCGCCAGTTTGCCGTGCCACCCGCGTGTTGACCGGGTTCTACTGTTACAGTACCTAATGGATGATTTGGTGGTAGCACAATACTTAATTCCAATTTGGTGTCATCCATTTGGTACAACGCGATTACTTCCCTTGCTGTCGGATGCACCTTCACCTGTAACAAAACAAAACATATTAGATTGATCAAAGCATATTAGACTGGTCAAGTTTGAAAATGCATAGAGACTCTCAATGAACATACTTGCATATTTTCCATATTGACTAATCTGTTGTTAAGAAGCTCTTCTTGGCAAAGGACAGGACTGACATAATGAGTCGTAATCTTCTCTATCGTCGCACTAACTCTGCTATCGGCCGTACTCCACCATTGTCTAACTAATACTGGCAGGTGCCGCAGGCAGTTCGTATACAACCAACATACAATATGATCCAATCTACATTCCGTCCAACTTTCTGTAATAATATGTAACATGATATATAAGACAATATGATACAATATATTTTATATGTGTAATCAATATTAGTAGTACCTCCAAAATTAAATGAGGGGGCAGTGGTAAAGATCTCCAGCAGCTTTACAGCCTTATTTTTATTATCTTGCAACACTTCCACGGGCATCAACTTGAAGATATTATTCAACAGGCAAGGGAATAGATCGTTCCTAGAATTCATGATACATGTTATGTACATGATAGTACAAAGTTACACAAGAGATAGGAGAGGAGAATATGGCATTACACAAATAGTGCGTGAAAGTAAATATATGTATGCAAATACTCACTTCAATATTTCGGCGTATTGATACCGTAAATCGCCATGAGCATTTGCACAAATGTCCAACACAACAGCCCACGCTAGCAGATATCCTAACGTGTACGTGTAAGAGTCCGTAAATGGTTGAATCGTACAGCTAACAATATCACATAATCTGAAAAAGAAAAGAAGATACACTAGTAACATGTCCGATTAAAATAATTGTATACAAATCTAAACTAAGAATACAATCAGAATTGCGAGTCATTATTTTTTTTAATTAATTACTGTATTTAATTAACAATTAATATAAATCAATTCAGTTAAAGATTGTTTAATTAACGATTGATTTCAATGAATTCTATCGAAGATCGATGAAAACAACATTATTTACAAAATCAAATGTAATCTTCAATAATGGAATGCTCTTCGATTGAATCGATTGAATTTGCTTATATCAATCGGCAATTAAATATTCTTCGACTGAATTTGCTCGAATCAACTATCAATTAGTTGAATTGAAGTTATTTGTTCAAATCAATGATTAAAATGAGAAAAATTTTATAACCTTTATAACTCTGGATATAATATAAATCTAAGCTAAAGATATAAATATATATTAGAATATATATATATATATATATATATATATATATATATATATATATATATAT